ATGATGAAGGACTTCATCGAGGAACAAGGAACAATTGATAGAATACGGCCCCTGGGTTCACCGATGAAGTTTTCCAAGTGCATCAATGCCAGGGACCATCCTCTCATCGGGAACCCAGGGGTTATATTCCACCAGTCATTCCACAGAACAAGGAACGACTGATAGAATACGGCCCCTGGGTTACCGAGAATGGGACCACCAACGTAGACCAGAATAGTTGAGTTCCAAAATATTTGAGGCCCATCCATCTTCGATTCGGCGACCAGAATAGTTGAATTCAGTACCGAAATATTTGTGGACTTATTAAGATGAAATTGAAAAGTTTTTTAAATTATTTCTTTTTATAAGTGAAAAAAAAAAGATATTGTCTATGTGTCAGAGTGCTGGACCGAACCGAACCTAATACCGAGGGGTGAAAAAAAAGCTAAATTAATCTATGGCAGAGCTTCGACAAGGGTCCCCTGTACCAGCACGTCAAGCAGGGCTTGCCATGCCAATCCAAGCGGATCAACCTCATTCCAGCTGTGCAAGCTATAATTAACATGAACTAGCAAACACTGAAAGCACTCTGACGGCCTAGGATTGTCTCATTTGATATAACATAACATGCAAATACAACTCAAAACATGAATAGTAGTAATCAATACTCATAACAATATATAACAAACATGCAATGCGAATATCAACAATGAATGTGGGAGCGACCTATTAAGACCCTAAAGTTTTATGCAAAAGAAGCCTGCATTCCAGCGGTATGTGCCACTATAGCACATACCCCTGGCAATATAAGCAACTTTCACGAGGAATTGTTCTCGTATCGTCCATAAATGGGGAGGTCCAGTGTATAGCTTAAGGGCTAGTCCCACCATACAAAGGACCCCAGTCATAGTCATAGGACCCCCGCTTGTCAGACACTAGGTTAAACATGTACTTACTCAGCCAATGCAAGAGTACTTGCAAGGCTACCCTCTGGTGTACCGGATCCAAGGATCAACACAACCAGAGTCAAGTGCCAACAGCCCCAAGAATGGAAAAGACAAGCATCAATTCCTCAAAAAAAACACTTCCACCAGGACAAAAAGACGCAGGAAGTATCCTGCATAGCCATACAAATACACACACCCTGAGGTAGTTATATTTGCAGACGTGAAAAACAAGYCGTAAACAATTACTTCAAAACATTAAGTTTTTCACACCATTTACAGAAAAGAGGAACTCTTCTTGAATACCTAGCCGCAAGTGCTCAACATAAATGGGGGGTTTTTGCGCAAAATTTAGAACCGATGGAGGAGTATAAATCGACGCCAAAGTGAGCACAGATCGAACCCCAAAATTAAATTAGCTGAAAGAAGAAAAAAMAAGAATGGTTWAACCTAACCCGAAAAGTTCCTCAGCTCCAACAATAGTGTCGATAATGCCCTGGTAAAAGCTTCCAMTAAAGTTTTTGACTTCAACACGCCATAAGGTCTGTGCGTGGTAAAAATATWTAATTCCAAACGACCCTTGTTAATCTATAGGGGGAACCACCCTAAAAGAAGAAAGTTAGACCTTGCATGTGGTACCAGCACACNGTCAAATGAAGTGAATTATGACTTAAAGAACATTTGTTTCTGCATCGCTGAATTGGCTCAAAAATGCGCGAATTCGACTGGAAAAAAAATATACAAAATCACACTATATGTTTACCTTGGCTCGTTCATCTTTACATCGTTTTAGCCCTTTTTTCCGTCCATCAAAAATTATACTGGAAACATTCTAAAAAGATAAGAATCACAAGAGAGTAAGAAAAATTGTTCACAAAACGTCAAAACAAGTCATTAAGATAATCAATGGCATATTCTGAAGAAAAAACAATATGTAGTTTAGAAATTCGAAAGAGTTACAATTTTTCATTTGATATTCATAAAGTTTAAAGAACGCATTTACATTTTTATGAGAACAATGTTGCAATTAAACAATTTGCATTTAGCAGCATTACCTTGAACAAGATGTCCACGTGCGCACAACGAACGCATCACTSTCTGCAGAACGACTACTTTAATTAATTAGTCGATATTTTGCAGATTTAAACTGCCCATAGCTTCTTCTGCAAGTAAAAAACAAAAAATTTAATGATTAGTGTTTGTAGTGAGCTTTGCCCCGTCCCGTTTGAACGACTAGGTGCCACAAGGATTCGACCACGAGCTCACAGCTAAACAACTGGCTTTGCAAATAAAAATAATATTTCTAATTCTAACTCGAGCATTAATTTAGTAGCAAGAATACTCCAATTTCGAATTCTGGTTTGCTCTGTGTTAGCCTCAAAACCAAGTAACATATTCTTTTGTTTCATTGATAGCTCGAGAAAACGCATGGAATTTTGTGAAGAAAGACAATAAATTTGATTTGAAATCTCACACTTTTACGTTCAGAATAAGTTAAAGAATATTTTGCGCACAAATGAGGCTAACACAGAGCATTGGAGAATTCGAAACTGGAGTATTGTACCTCTGAGAATAACGCCTGAAAACTTGTGTTCTACTGACCTTTGACAGTTTTACATGACAGCTTCTTGTACGCTCCACGTGGGCTGAAGTGGAACGACCAAGTTTCTTTAATATATCCACCATAAGCCATCATAAAGTTTGGTTTAAACAGTAACTACAAAAAGAAGGAAATAGTTAATTTTTTGAAAATTTTCGAATCAAATGAAAGAAGACAGAGTTCTAACCTTGATACATTCTTCCTGCCGATATAGCTCCCTTCGCTCAAATGTCCCGCGCTTACGAAAACTAGGACTTTCAAGTGCGAGTTCTCCATGGAAACAGCCAATCATGAGCTWACATTAAATAAACCGATGCGCTTTACCAATCAAATGTAAGGATTGAGGGAACGTTCGATAAGATTCGGGGTGGACGCGTGCACAGCGGTATGAAAGGGGCGCATAAAACGTGAAATGTTACACGTGTCGAATMTGATGCAAATGGAACAGAGATATAATTTTGTATATTCTAGACTTCGGCATTTGGAAACAATKGATTTCGCGGTCTTTTTGCAGTAGTCTAAGTAAAGGTAAACACTTCTGTTCATAAAAAGGAAATTTTATTTTCTATTGACAATATTCTTTTCAATCCATAACAAAATTTCACACATAATGATTTAAATAATCTAATGTAAAAATATGAATATATTACTGTCCTTATTTCTTGGAAGTCGGAACAAGACTTTTCACTGCTGAATTCTATCTAAAAAATTGTGTGATACATACGGTTTTGTGTGAATATTCCATTGCGTGAAAAGTCCCAAAATAATAAATTACGAGGCATAAGATATTTTGTGATAAGTCATCTAAAATCTAGCACTGGCTCGTGCGGGAGGGCGGCGCGTCGAGGGTAAAACACCAGGTTTTCCTCGTACTGTAGGAAGTTTTCCACAGAAGACATGTAGATATCAGCAAAACGGACAAGACGTCGAGTGAAAAACGTTGGGTTGTGATAGGTGCGGAATACGCTGCCGAACTGGGGGTTGAACAAGACTTTGAGCTTTTTCCTGAAGAGAATACATTTATCATAATTAATTATTATTAACACTAATATTCTTTAATACTGACTKTTAGCAATCTTTCATTTCAATTCGTCGCAGTTTATGCCGCATTGTCCAAATATAAAGAATATCTATGTAGAAACGAAACTCCCAAATGAACCAAACGGTATGCCGTTTTTGTGGTTACTCTTGATGTACGAAGGRAAAACACCATGCTACACTATTACACGTATGTCCGTCATTTAGGATTATGTGTACGAGCCAAATAGACGATGTTTTCAAAATTCTATCTTCGGCGGACATACCGTAAATGTTTTCGTTCTAGTTTCCATTCATCAACAGTAGACATGATCTCATCGCGGTCGTGTGCCTGATAAAAAGCAAGGAAAGTCAAGGCCRTCATCCTCATTATTAATAGTATCTCTATCATCAGCAATCATCATCATCCCTGTTACCATAGTAACTGACCTGAAGCTCTGCAATTAGATCTTGTAATGTAAACAACCAAACAACAGATTTTTGGTARTCGGGATCGTTGCATATCTTAAYTYCTTGCTGCAACAGAATACMAATACCCAGTAAATTGCTATTCTACATGTAAACAAGTTAARCTGGTTTGACCGGTACCTCTAGTTCTGGGATGACAGCACCTGTCCGCCAACCATGATGGAGAACTGGGTCCTAGAATCATAAACKTTGATGAGGATAATGACGTAATATTCCCGCCYTTTACAAGCTTCAATACTCGCCTTTAAATCACTGTACACGTGATCGCCAAAGTAMAGCACATTTGGTCCATACCAACCTGTAAATTTGATGAACTGCTCGACATTGCCCTATTAACAAAAACAAACAAAAAACTCGTGAATACAGTCAAGACCCGGTWCAAAACATTACAGAACCTAAAYTATGTGTTCTCTACAACRATAGTCYATTTCATCTGGATTTTCAATATCTTTTGGGGGATTTTTCTTATCTGGTATATGTTATTGGGGGTCGACAATCAAAACACTACAAAACTCGTTCATCGTAAATGAGGCAGTCCTCATTTTGCCTGCTGAGTCTGTAGTTCAAGTGGAACTAAATCAGACAAGATCCAWTGCACAGAAAACACGCTATTCTATTTTAAACGTTATTTAGAAAACAAACAAACATTCGACTCGGTGTATCAGCAGGCTTATAAGGTGCGCAAAATACCTCAGTATAAATCTTTCCTTTCTCAAATTTTGACACCTTTTCCCAGGTTGGAACGCCTGTGGAGACATCTATAGTTCGGAATGGCCTGTGAATGAAAAAAGAACGTTACCACTATTGGATTTTTTTTACACATGCGATATTAATACTGCGATTTCTAACCGTATTTTTGTCAATCGTTCGGTTTCACTTCCTTTTATTCCTGGAGCCGCAACACCTCATTCACAGTCAATGGTCTTTTTTATGATTTTAAGCCCTTTTTCCAAAAATGTGCAGGCCTGCACAGACTATATTATCCCCAATTAAGTACTTGCAAAGGACTTACCTCATTACCTTGAATATTTTCTTTGTTTTTTTTTTTTTTTCATTCCAAACCGTGTTTAATATTTCACTCAAATGACAGGCAACTCACTTTTTTTGAAACAAAATCTTTTCAAAAGCCGAAAACGAACGGTAGATTTTGCGAAGAGACAACTTTGATCTCATCTGATTTGAAATGGGAAACTTTTATGTGAAACTGAAAAAAAGTGTATTCTTAGAACCTTTATTTAAGTGGTCGCACTCCATTAAACGGTCATCTGGCATTTCCTCAAACTGACCGCTTAATAGAGGTTTGACTCATTTTTTACCTGTAAACCTGCTTAAAGAATGCTGGCTTTCTTGCTCTGGTTACTATGACATCAAACAAATCTGTCCAATCACTACCAATCATATGTTGCATCCCCCTGTCACTGGAGATCAAAGTTCAGTGATGAGTATGTGTCATGTTGTAATGCAGCCATGCATTGCCTTTGCATCAAAGCAAGACAAGAGTTGAGCTTGCCTTGACAGATTCCTCTTGTGAAGAATAATTGTTGCAGTTATATACAAAAGGTATCACTGCAATCTCAACCCCTGCCTCACTCAATGCAAAGGGTAGAATACATTTCAATAGTCAGTGAGAAGTTTAAAATGGAGTATTAGGAAAGTACAAGCAAAATGTGCAACACTGCTAAATATGAGGAGAACTGGTGTTTAGAGATTAGGAGCAACCCCTAACACCCTCCCCCTCGGCAGCTTTTTTGACTTAACACAGGAATCACACATTGAGTTGAGTTGCCTGTGGAGTGTACATTAGTTCAATAACTTACACAAAAGAGTAAGGGCTGTTTGTTATMAGGAATAGYTTCTTCCCATTGTTAACCATTTTGTTGAGTAACTGTCCCAAAAGAGGACTTTTATCMAGATATGTGCCTAGAAGACAAATAAACAATGAAGATATCTCAAATTATGAGATTATTATGAGCCTACATATAGCAAGGCAMAATCATGGAAATATCATTATTAGACAGGCATTAGCCTAATTGTATAGTGAGAGACTAGTGACAAAAATGTGATTCACATAAAAATAATTACCAATAATATTGTCAAAATACCTATATTATTCATGACCTCATCATACATTTGTCCTGATATATGCACACTCTCGACAGCATTCTGAAAAAATAAACATTTGATTTTAATTTCAATTTCATGTACTACATATTGTATATTATTTGTAGAGTAGAAGGGACATCCTMCTCATCACCAAGGATTCTCTATGTGATAATTTCAGCTTTGTGAAGTCCAATAGAGTTGTCAATTTACCTTGCAATCATCAAATAGATTTTCAGGGTCAAACTGGATGCCTTTTTGTTGAAGGAACTGTAATAAAAAACAGTTTCTAAAGCTATTAATAATATATTAAAAATGAAATATTGTTGGATGCAGGATAAAGAACGGAATATTGTGTGATTTTCTTTTTTCTTTTTCTCTTTGTAATAAAAACGTGTAACTATGGTTACCTCAGATACGTTGGATAGCAGACACATCTCTGGATATGAAAACATGTCAATCATATGATGCAGTGATTGGCCAAGCTCCTTAAAATATCAATAAGACCATTAATAAATCAATCATTCAACCAACCAACCAAACAATAGATAAAACAATCAGCCAATCAAAGACTCATTAAGCCAATTAGCCAATCAATCATTCAATCAGCGATTCAATTAATCAACCAGTCATTCATTCAATCGGTGAACCAATTAATCGGTGAACCAATTAATCAGACAGTCAATCATTCAATCAATCAATCAAACATTTAATCAAACAATCAGCCAATCAATAAGCCTTGAAACCTATCAATTAACGAAAGGTTACAATAAAAGAAAATCTAAAGCAAATATTTTGGCTGATAAACTTTAGTGGTATTGTTGGATTCTTACATTCAAGTGGATGTCAGGATTTATCTTAGAGATTGATAGATGAATACCACCAAATTTTTGAAACACTTCATCATCAGAGAGCTGCTGCAAGCCCCTTGTGATATAAAATCATGATACAAAATCAGATAGAATATCAGACATTATGCCAGAATAACAGAACACAACTAACATAACATTTTAATCAGAATGCTAACTATTAATGATGATTTGTCACGATCAAAAGCATAGACATTTTAATGGATGTTGCATAATAGCTTTACATTTACCTATATACTGATCCAAGCATGATATTGTGAAAGGCATCTATTTTAAGCAAAACACCCTACAGAAAAGAAAAAAATGAATTGTGTCATATAATGAGTTGAAAATCTTGATTGTTTTAATTAACTGACTTACATGCGCTGTGTCATAATGTAAGCCTCTTACTGCAAACTCTGGGTTGTACTTCATTCCTTCGATGCCCTTTGGATACTAAAAGGCAAAGTGCAAACTCAACTTTACCCTTTATAATAATTAACTTCATTTCTTCCATTCTTTTGGAGCTCATTTTGGAAGTCAAAATTCAACACTTTACCAATTTGTCAACCAGTTGACACTGAGTAAGGCAAATCATGGAAGCCATCTAAATGTATAAATAGAAGTGTATGGCCAACACAAGGATATTTCTGAGTTCCCACCATGTTTTACTTAAAAAGACCTCTTTCCCTTTGTCCTTGTTCAAGTCACCACAGGCAGCCCAACAAGAGGTGTCACTTACCCCATACATACTGATGAGATTCCCAATAGCCAAGTCATAGATAAGAAAATGAAGAGCATTTGAATATGAGGCCAGTGTATAATCATAATCAAAACCATATACATCTATGTACTTTAGACTCAGTTCATTATTTGCAAATATACCCCTTTCATCTATAGTTGTGTGTTGGAAGTTCTCTGAAAAACAAAGACAAAAAGAATGAAGGGATTGACAAAAGTTTGATAAATTTAGTTTTGATAATGATGGGGTTTGAATTCTCCCTCCCCTCCCCCTTTCTTTGTGATTTTGATCCATCATAATCATCTATAAAATTAATTTTGAGCTCTATTTAACCATAAACAGATAAATCAGTGTGCCTTTCTACACGATGATTGACCTTTACAGATGATTAAAAATTAACCATGCAATCTAAATAGAGAGAACAGCCTCCATTCTGTGCGCAGTCATTTTCATGTGACTCGGTATCTTACTGTACATTCTACACTGTTCAAGAAAACTATTTATTGCCCTCCTTATAGTATTCAGACATCTCCAAATTTCAAGCAAGGCAAAGTTCTAGTATGTAAATCAAGAACCTGTAAACTTAACTTACATATTATGTAAGCTTAAACGTTTAAATTTGAACCAAAACATGTGTAAAAATGTCACTGCAAAACTACCTGAAATTTCTTGTTTTTCTCTTTGATACGCATCCTTGATTTCTTGTATACTTCTTGTTTTCCTTATTACACTATGATTTCGTAATGCAGTCTGATTTGGCTGTATTATTCTTGGTAAATTTAACAGTTTATGGAAACCACGACGCCTTAGCAAAGAAACCATTTTGAAATGGCGCGGTCTAACACAGGAATCCCAAGAGTGTAAACATTTCATTTTTTCAACAAACCCCACTCCCTCCCCCATCGTTCCGGTTCACTAATCCATCTTCGAAGTCTCCAGATGGACGCTGCGACCTCTGCTGTGTTTACACTTAAAAATACTTAATCTGGTCGTCTTCTTTCTTCGAAATGAGGGTCGTTTTCCTTTGCAAAGGAAGCAGAGGAGACGTTGGACCGGTTTTGTCGTTGCTGCTTGGTTACAAGTAGGTGAAAATGATATCTTTTGTCCGATGTTTACACTTTTCATAATAGTTTTCCCATGATTGTACACAGAATTTGATTGTATACTCACCATTTTTAGTTTAAAAATATTTGCATTCCTGTCAAAATGCTTTCGATTTTGTTTCTGTATGACTGTTTTAGAACTTTGAGTTACATTTCTTGTAAAAAGGCAAAAAAGGCTGTACAGAGAAAAAATCATAGCAATTGTCTAAATACAGCTCTAAATACAACTCGGTTGTTGCTCTTTAAAAATTCCTTTAAATTACACCTTTGGATGTACGTTTTTCTGTCTGTTTTATAATATATTTTTGATAGAGGCTCAAACGTTTATAGGCCTTTATAGTCCTCTGCAGAAAATKTATATATTTTCAGAATACAGCGTGTTGATTAAACTATAATAATATCTATTTCTTTAAAAATCTCGTATAATTTCAAATAACTGGTATCTCATAATATTATTTTTAAGGTGATAATATGACTGGGTTTCAATAGTTATAAAAACTAGACAATGTGTTGAATTTTTAATGTACAGTGAATAAATTATATGTCATTTTCACACGGTCCAACATCTGTCTGTGGGGGAGGAAGGCTGAAGTACCTATATTTATAGAAATAGAAGAATTATCAATGTAGTATACCATTTTTGACCTAGAAGAGCTCTGTAATGCATATACTTTTAAAAAAATCTTAATCTCTTTTATTTATTTATTTTTTGTGATGATTGTATTGCTTATTGATTTTCTTTATTTTGTWCAACAGAYATAATGTACCCARTGATGACTGTGTTCTGGTAACTCATTCCATTCATAAAACAAAGTTTAAGGCAGTTTTGGACAAAAATGGAATTGAGTTTGTGTCCCTGAATGATGCAACCCAACAGGATTCCATTGAAACACCCATGCACAAAACAGAGGTAGAGCCAACTACTCCTATTTTAAGGCTTTCTATTGCATATGGTATYCCTGTGTGCCTTAAAGGAGGGAGACTGGATTGACAGCAAAGGAAAAGAGGGAAGTGGGAGGGTCTCTTTTTCTCTTCCTACTACCATCACCTTCACACAGGMAGCCCACTAGCWTGCATACTTAAGTCAAATTGCCATACAAACATATWCTGTACCTGSYCCTTYTAATATTTATTTGGYATCYCTGTGCTTATTTTTGATTCAGTTACAAGTSAGTAGTGGTAAGGGATTYTCAGACAAAGAGCGTCAAGATAGAGTCATGGAAATGCATTGCAGTCTAAAGGCTTGCAAAGGAGCAGGTGCCATTGTCTTCAATTTGTTTGCTTGCGAGGGATGGTTTATTGCTCAGTACTTAAAGATACCATGYGTAGCAGTTTCTCCATTCGCTGTRACCAGGTATRAATACAGCTTATTTGGTGCAGGATCTTTTTAGATTTGATAATTTGATTTTTTCTCATATTGCATATAGAACTCCACCAGTAAAGTTTGAGAATAAGTTTTTGGATGCGTATCCTGACCTGTATGGCAGATTGATCAATGCRCCYCCAGGTATGCAGGAGAAAACCTTAAGGGCATTAAATTCAGGCTCACTTTTATGAACTATGATGATGATTCAGTGATGCCATTGCATTATGATGGTGTTGACAATGATAGAGCAAGCATATAATCAAGCGGACATGATCATCATTTAATAGCTTTGCCCCTAGTTGGGCAGGTACACCGCAACAGCTTGAGCCAATTACTSTGGACCCTAAACTCTCACACTCACTACCTCTACATTAAGTATTTTAGCACACAACACTCCTCACATGTTGATTATTGAGGGAAGAAAACCGGAGTACCCGGAGAAAAACCCTCATGGCAAGCGAGAGAACAACACATCAAACAAACTCAAACTTACTTATTGTCCGTGCCCGAGAATCGAACGCGGACCACAGYGGTGAGAGGCCAGMAGCTTAACCAMTAGGCCACCTGTGCCAGCCAAAATGCAATCAAAAAATTATTATGATAAATAATGATATTTTCAGGGATGATGTTTTGTTTATTATATATAAAGTTGATGATGATGATTATAATGATAAATGTATTATCCATTCCATATAAGGATGTGTATCATATGGAGACGTAGATCACTGGATGTGGAGGTTATACCTTGAYGACTTTGGAGAATTCTGTGACTCCCTTGGGCTTCCTGTGTGTCCATACTCTGAGCTATCCCAAGATGACCCKCTGCCGTCCCCAACACCTTTGCTTTATGGCATCAGTCCTACAGTGCTTGAAAAACCAAACTATTGGCCAAACAGGTAACTTGATGGTTGTGATGATGATAATAATGATGATGATGAATGCTGGTAAATGACAGGCTGTGATTGACAGGGCAGGGATGAYAACACTAGCACTATGATGATGATAACAATATCACTGTTTAGAGTGCAAGTCACATAAGCATGAAACAATTCTTAACTATGTAGTGCTAAATAAGATTTAGGTATCAACTAACTAAGAATTGAGAACAATGCTACAAAGGAATTTAAATAATTGGCATTGTGTTTATGCTTTGTTGAATTCTTAGTTAGTTGATAACTAAATCTTATTTAGCAATACATATTAAGAATTGTTTCATGCTTATGTGACGTGCACTCTATGATGCTGATTGTCTAATATTTTTACTAAAGTGTCACTGTATGTGGTTACTGGTTCACGGACCTGTCATACCCAAGTCTCAGTGACGTCACAGTAYTATGTCCCTCGTACCAGACCTCTGTCCGTGTCCTCTTCAAAGACTTTATGATGACACTCAGCGAACAGCAACAGCGYCCTTTGTACATTGGATTTGGATCTATGGAAGAGCTGGGATTTTTCTCGAGTCTTGACAGTGTGGAAATTATTGGAATCATCAATGAAGGTTTGTAGCCATAAGCCCCCCTCCAACGCCCCCTCCCACCCCTCCCCCAACTCCACCTTTGCTTGTTTTTTGGATCTTTTTTACGGTCCCGGATTATCGCACGTGACTTAATTTGGCAATTAAACTGATAAAAATAACGCGTTGATAACGCTGATAACGCGTTGCTRTAAACGTTTCCACCCAACACAAACCACCCGGGAGTAAGTTTTATTGTTCGTTGTATTTTCATTTCGTTGAAATCTTACAAACAAAAGTTCTTTTTCCCAYAGGATTWGAATTGGGTGGTAACGTACATAGCAACGCGTTAGCCGATTAGGTCTATAAGTAAAAATAAAATAAATAACTCGTCATAACTCTCGCGGGGATCGCAATTAATTGTCTGCAAAGCTGTTGCCCGCTTTAAAGGGAGCTACTTAATACCGTGTATCTTTCTGTCATTAGGTCTCCTTGAGTGCGATATCAAAGCCTTTCTGCAYGTCGAACCAGATTCCGTCATGCTCAAAGCTTGGGAAATCATGCACAARAACGTCGTAAACTGCAATATCTACTGCATAACACAACAAGTCTCGCATACCCAACTCTTCYCACAATGCCTTGCAATCATGCACCATGGTGGAAGCGGTACAGTTGCTGCGGCAATCCGTGCTGCAGTTCCGCAAATCGTATGCCCCTTTATGTTCGACCAGTCGTATTGGGGCGATAAAGTTGCTTGGATGGGAGTTGGAGAGTCTTTGGGCCATCTGCGCTCCTTGACTGTTGCCTCGTTTGTCAGTGCGTTGAAAACCATTACTCAGAGCARTTGCCTGGCAACAGTAACAAAGTACAATGAGCTTTTGAGCACAGAGAATGGTATTGATAAAGGGGTAGAAATTTTAAAGGATGTGTTTCATGAGTCCGGGCGAGCGGCGTCTCCCAATGCGTCCGAAATTTCAACTTCTCTTTAAAATCTTCAAATTCCGTTAATCTGAGTTGTATAACCCAGAATTCTTGAAAACTAACATTCTGAGGATGCAACGCGGACTAGATTCCGTAGATTTCTAAATAATTTGCACGATACATTTTGCGGTTATGTGTGACACACGTCATTTGCAAGCTGCTGTAAAAAGTCGTCAGGATTCAACGTCATTTCTAGCGTATTTTCTAACTCAAGGCCTTCTAACGCAGACATTATCGAAAATTTCATAGTTATTGAGGCCCATTGTTGAGTGTAACATCTGTTTACTCTCTAGTTATGGATACTACGCACTTAGAATTTAATCGACATACATTCTGTATATTTTTTGTAAAAATAACCTCTATATCAGCTATATAAGTCTAGGACATCTSTAGCATGCTATGAACACTAAGGCTCTCATTCGGGACCCTTAAGGCCCGTTTTCACTTGCGATTTTTGGAGAGAGATTCTCTCGGCGATCGTCGCGCGGCCATCCCCTGAGTTTCGAACATGCTTGAAAGTTGGCTGCAACTTCGTGGCGATTTTCCAGCTCCGCAACAATCGCAGTGGTGTTTACACGCACCATTTTAGTTGCGCGATAGCAAAGTGACGATTATCGCACTGCAAAAATCTCAAGTGTAAACGGTCCTTTGGAGTCCCAAAGGACCGTAAGATGTATATATTAATTTGTAGAGCGGTATGTGGACTGAGATGCAGTTGATAAGTGTAGTTAATATTGGTCATATGGCCATATAAATTGCATTGCAGATTGGAAGCGTGTAGTGTGGGATGAGCCCAAGTTTCGTGTTTATTAGTGGTGTGGATGTTTATAACTGGTAGTGTTAGACGTACTACGCGAGTAAACGAGAATCATAAAGTAGTATATCAAGTGTAAATTTGTACAAGTTTTTCCTCGTTACCAGACCTCTGACGTCCACTTTGCGATGCAATTTATATTAGTGTCAAACACAAAGGTACTGATTACAATGACGCCTATTTAATAAAAAYTATCTTACTTTATGGTTGTCACATAAGAGTCATAAGTACAGGGTACTCGAGTTGGTATGTAATTGAAACTTCAAGTGGTTTCAAAACTGACTGTAGATTGATTAGTGTAAAATTGTGTAATGATTTGTAAGGGAATTACCAATTTGTAATAGAAGARAGCGMTCTTAGGCTGGTGAACTCTAAGGAAAGTCACTAAGGGTATTGAAAAGTTTCCTTTTAACTTCTCCGTGCGGAGTTAATATCTTGAGTGATAAGATCGGAATGAATAAAATGAGATCCAAGCCACGTTTACTTGCATTGTATGAGACGGTACGCGCGCAGCTCTATCCTTTTATGGAGACGCTCAGGTAGCCGCGGCACGTTTGATACTGTCTTACTGAAAAATTCTAACGGAAAAGAGGTTAAAGTGAATTTCAAGAGATCCGAAGTCCACATTTGGAAATCCTTATCCCACTGATTTTAAGGATAGCGCACAGGGTAGGATTTTTTTTAATTCTTCCAAACATATGATAGGCTTCTCAGCCATCGACCTTGACCTTGGAAAATTATGATCATGCGCTGTCCATAGATAGCGCGGGATTTAGGATGTTGCAATGGGCAACCTTGACTTTGGCGATACTGTTAACAGAATGAATCTATRGAATGTAGTGTACTTTTGGTCTTTTCCAATTAGGTTTTATCCAAACAATGGCAATGCGGTTTGAATTTTAACATTATAGCAATGCGTAAACTTCAGGTTGCATAGCAGGCGCACTACTTTTGAGCTTGGAGAGAAAGGCCGCCGGTTCCTCAGAATACGGAAATTGGGTCATCGTTCGGAAGACTGGGAACCCTTAGCAGTGACCTTCATGCTTGAGCAATGCTGACAATGTTTTTGCACCGTAAAAATAGTGATCAAACTATTGAAATAACATATCTAGACACGTAGAATTCCAGACAGACTTGACGCAAGGTATTTTGGGARGTTTATTCATTGGCTTAAAATTGTCTCCAGGAGCTTTTGAAATACTCAAATTCTTTCACGTTGCTAAAAGTGCCGTCAAAAACACCACAGCGGTTGACTGTTCACGCAGAGCTATTCGCCATAAACACTGCAGTCCTAATTTCATAATAAACTATCTTTATATTGAAAAGGTTTGAACGTGTTCCSGTGGCTGTCATTTAAGCTAGACGACTTTAAGGGAAGAGAATTGTACTGAATTTAAACGTTCAGAWAAAGGTTTCCGTGTCATCAGTATTGTAAACAAGTAAAAATAACTAAAACAGCGAAACTGAAAACATCTAGTTAACGTATGTGATTTTCTCGTTCTRAATAAAACTATTTTAGCGCGTGAAAACTGAAGAAAGAACCATGATGTTATGAATCTTGGAGGACGCARCATTAGYACATTCCTAGGTTGCAAAAGTACGGCCCATCGTCTTGTTATTAGGAAATGYACTGTTGACCTTGGWAAAGTGTTGACACTATTATCAATGTAAACGCAGCTTACAGAAACTAACTGAAGCATGTAAGGGATTTTGTTGTTCAGGTCACGACTGCCACAATTATCGGCAAAATCACGCCTACTTGATAATGAGTTATTTTAGAAAATGAATGAGTATTGCTTAAATACGTGGGCGCTTAGAGACCTTACAGCGATGGACTGGATTTTTCTTTTTCCAGTATATCAAAGACGATTTTATATACTATGGGTTTGTAGTTATTAAAAGCCATTATCAAAGTATGTTCTGCCAGATTTACGTGGATAAAAGCTTATAAAAGGAGTAAGTGACCTTGGATTTTCGTAACCTTGACTGGCTTTGTGTTTCTCATGATCACATTCTTTCATTAGACTAGCAAAGAGTTACCTTCATAAGATGACCTTGGCTTTTGTTAACCCTGAAAGCATTTGTTTATTCGTTAAACCGCTCAACTATACAGCCRCTATCCAGACCCAAGGACAATCACTATCTGCCGGACCTTTCCAACTGCAACACCTCTGCAGATTCCTCCCTGAAGCAAGCATATTTGACAGCTGTGACTTCCTTTTGCTACTCTAAAATACCGTTTCTAAAATAACGTTCCAACTATGTTGCAGTTGACTACAGAATTCTATCATTTTTTAACAGAAGGAAGTTTTTTGACTATCTTTCTGTTGGTTACTTTTRCAAGTTTACTACTCTATCTGATCTTGGACGACAGACGAATACTGCTAGAGAGAAAGTACCCTCCTCTACCAAGGCCCTGGAGCTTTCCMATAGTCGGRAATCTTCCGCAACTTGGCCAATTCCCTCACATAGCTTTAACAAAGTTTGGTAAGACGTTTGGTGATGTTTTTGCTGTCCGCCTCGGTTCTTGGGATGTTTTGGTGCTCAACAGTCTCAACGCTGCAAAGGAAGCATTATTTCAAAATTCTGCGCACTTCTCAAGCCGTCCGCCATTTTTTACCCTTCGTCTACATAACAGCCAAGACTTCACAGTTGCYTTTGGTGACTACAATTCTTCTCAGGTATAGAAAAATATCCACGTTTATACAACTTTTATTTGTTATATCATGATCTTGATTAGCTGCTTAGGTTACCCACAATATTTTTTTTGCATTTGCCCCAGGAGGTCTTTTTAATATAGTTCAGCAGAGGTAGTTCAGAAACGTTTAGAACCAATGCACACCAATGGAAGTAGTGGAAAAGTGGTCTTGCATTCTGAAACTGCCTTGTGATGCTTAAACTACCAATAAAATTAGACAATCTGCAGAATGATTCGCTTGAGCTTGGTAGAATACGATGTCATTRCATCAAGCAAGTGGTAATATTTTGTCAGATAAGAATCGCATATATTATAAATGATTACACATGTACGCTTCTTTTACCACCTAACGTATTGAGAAAAATAATTGAAGTCGTAAACAATCATTTTTTTGTGGTATTCTTAGAGTCCTTCGAAGGACCTAATGGCAATAATTCATCGCATTGTTTTATATATAACACTTTATAATCTCTATTGAGGCTTGACTCATTATGCACACGCTTTGCCATTCTCCCGGGCTCATATCTGTGCGTAAACAAAATAGACTACAACGTTCAATTTCAATTCCAGATCGAACGGAAGAAAGCTCTTCTCCAAGCCTTTCACCGTGTCATTCTCACAAACCCAGAGCATCTGAACCGAATGGTTTCGCAAGAAGCGTCCCGGTTRAGCCACATTCTGCGAAGCACTGGGCAGTCGCCTTTTGATCCAAGAGCTTGTTTGAAGATGGTTGTAAGTAGAATGATATACAGGCTGACATTTGGTGGAAGCGTTCGTTCTGAAGAGGAACATGACTTGCACCAACTGTCGAAGACTTCGAGGGAGTTTCAAGAGTCCACATTGGTTGTGCTTCTTGCTGACTTTATGCCATGGATGAAATTCGCTGTCAAAAGACAAATGAAACAGGTTAGGTCATTACTGATATCAAATTGAATTTAATATTCTTATTCAGCCATTTCATAGGGACATAGAGAAATTTTCAGCAATGCATTAAGATCTCTGATAGACTATTGCAAGTGCGCATATTCATAATTGATTATTGAAAGTATTTACTTCTCCATTTGCAGTTAGATGATCTGGTTGGAGTTCTAGAAGGATTTGTCCTCAAGGCTTACAGAAGACGAAAGCACCAAAATATACTCGAAAAAGATGACTACTGCACGGCGAAGAACATTGAAAACTACATGAAATCGTTGAAACGCCAAGAAAAAATCGAAAGATCTCAAAAATCTCAACGTTCCACCCAGGGCAAAGCTAGCGAAATGGAAGTGGATGGTAATGAAAGAAAAGATGAACTAAAAGATGAGTTTACAAGTGAAGAGGAAGAAGAAATCGAGATGAGGGTTGTGCATATGCTTAGCTCTGATGCCTTTGGAGCAGGACTCGAGAACACTGCTAACCTGTTCTCGTGGTTTGTAGCCTATATAGCAAGCTACAAGGAGCTTCAGCAAGAACTACATGCCGAGATAGATCGCGTCATTGGCCTCGACGAACCGTGCGTGCAGCATAAGCAAAGAATGCCACTAATGCAGGCTGCAATACTTGAAACACTACGTCTATCGTCTGTGATCCCAATGGGAATCCCACACTACTGCATACAAGACAGCGTTGTCAAGGGCTACCACGTTGCCAAGGGAACCATTGTACTGACSAATATATGGGGCATCAATCAYGAYGATCGATACTTCAGTCACCCAGAATGCTTTGAGCCATACCGCTTCCTAGATGGCAATGGTCAACTAAGGGCGGATCGATGCAGTCTAGTMATACCWTTCAATACWGGACCCAGGTCTTGCCCTGGGAATGCGGTTACAAAGACTATTCTGTTTTTACTGCTCTCGAGCTTGTTACAAAGGTTTGAGCTTCAATCGGAAAAGAATTTGAATGATTTGCAGGCTCTCCCTGGGCCAGTGCTGTCTCCAGAATTCTTTGAAATAGTGTTTCGTCCACGAGAAATGAAGTCAACTGCTAGTGAATGAAAAACAACAGAACAATACGGCTCGACTGTTCTCCTCATAGAGTGAAAAATATACTATGGACGGCTCGGAATTGAATTAGTTCACGGAGCATGCAGAACTAACAATACAGATGACGAAGTGACTGGGAACACAGATCAAATATAAACATTTAGACAGAATAATCAAAACACTGAATCCATTCAATGAGGCAATATAATCTCTCATGTTAAAGTCAATGTGAATTTGATGATGCAATTTTATCTTTTTATAACTTAATGACGATGGGAGATAATGGCCTCCTTAATTAAATATTTTATCATATAGTGTTCTAAATTCTTGACACAGCTTTCAGCAGTAAAGTTTTACACACATTTTATCTGTTTGTCTATTTCAGCTTAATTCAAATGATCCACCCGTTTAAATCTTTTATTTTTTATTTCATCAATGTCCATTAAAACATAAAACATTTTTATTGTTCCTATATATCCGATCTTGACTTTTTTCTAACGGCTTAAAAAACTCCAACACTGATTTTAAAAMCTTTTAGGTTCTAAATGAGCGTAAATTTACGTATTGAGATAAATGGAACAATCTGATCATGCGCAAATCACGGTAAATAATAAGCTAGACATCCCACATTGAATACGCAGTAGTATCAAGGGGCATATCATTAAAAATGGCGATGGACAAATCTATGTCAAACAAGATTTCAGGCTCCCGCTAAAGCATTCTGAATTCGTTTGATTAATAATCTATAGTAATAGCTTTAAATCTGTTTCAATTCTGTTTCAATTCGTTTAAACATAAGCTAGATAATCTGTAGTTTACGCGGCATTTATATCGGATATTTACATTCAACGGATTTAGTTTTGCATATTTTGATTAAATATTTGCTAAGCCAACTTCAAATACATATAGCTTAAATCATAATTTCCAGTATCGCTGTTTTTCGTTTATTACTCAGAKTTCTGGTCACTCTGACAACGGTTATTTTGATATTCCCATGGTAACACACCTAAAACGTCACAGGCATGTGTGACAAGCTGAATGCAACCAATCGTCAAAACGGCCGAAAATGAACTTTGATTTCTTGGTGAAAGCATTCCAACAGAGCTCGTGATTGGATAGTGCAGCCTCATCTCACGTGTTCGCCGAGATATATTCAAGCGTGGATACTATAGTTTTCAAAACACACTAAGTTCTTCTGGCCTTCATACATGTTCTCGCCATGGAGAGTGAAAATCGAAACGACGAGATAGATTATCATGCACACATCTACAATGAAATGCGATTACTCCATGAAAAAGATTCTTCTATAATGCTTCTCAACAAGCAATTTGCTATCCAACGGGATGTATGGCATCCCAGCGCCTGTTTTGATTTAGCAGAACACACGTGCAAAGAGRTTCTAAGGCTCGTAGAAGAAGAAGTTTCAAATCGCACAGGCAAAACCTCGTTCGATTTCCTCCAGGTTGGGTGTGGATCAGGGTATATATCTGTTCTCGTCGCTCTCTCTTCTGAAAAATGTCGAGTYTGGGCCACTGATATCAACGAAGCTGCTGTACTWAACGCAAAAGAGAATGCAAAACTTCATCGAGTGGAACATCGGGTCAAGGCTGTAGTCGCTGATGTGTTCAACAACCATGAGATCAGTGGAAGAAAGTTCGACATGATTTTCTGGATTCCTCCTTGGGCAGGGCAGCATACTGACAAAGAAGCTCAACTAGATCATCCTCTGCTGTTCAGCTTCATTGATCCTGGCTACAGTGCTCTTCTACGCTTCTTCAAAGACGCGGGAAGCTATCTGAAGGAAAAGGGGAGATTGTTACTTGCCTTTTCCTATAAAGTTGGTTCTGAAGAGCTTTTCAAGAGCATCGCACACGGGAATGGCTGGAAATTGGAAATTATCTCAAGTCAAAATCTCAACTTGAATCTAAATGGTACCTCCAATGAAATACCAGTTATTATGGTTGAGTTTCTCAAAAGAGAAACATAGATTCCATGATATTAGTACAGTCGTATRTCAGTTGTATTGTTAAATGTTGTTACAAAGTAGTGAAAATAATAGACATTGGGACWGAAAAACTATGAATTTTTATTACTTAAAATGGAGTATGTACAGAGCCTAGCACCCATATTAATGGTTTGCTTTATAGGAGTGGCTGGGGGAAGTGAGCCTTGTGCTTTTGGCTCCAAGAGACTTTTACCGGTCACACACATCGATCCATTGGGTTTTCTGAGTGAGAAATGTGACTCGCTTTCCAGTTTGATAACGCAAGAGTAAAGACCAGTAACCAACGTTACATTTGCAAAGAAACTCGTGCGTTGGTGATGGACTTTACCCGCTAGTGTGCTTGATTTGTATTTTGTAATTCAAAACGTCAATCTTAATCGCATAAATTATCTCCGCACGTGGTCATTACATGGTCTTAAAACATACCGTCTCGTGGTTGTATGCGTGAACAAGTGTAAATATAACGTTATAGATCTAGAACAAAGTTGATCGTGCTTGTTTTTGAGAATTATTCAGCAAAATGTGATCAAAATGTTCAATCAAACAAAACTCTACAGACCCTTGTGTGAAGTTTTTTTTCTTTGAGTCTTCAGTAAGTTTTTTCTGTGTTAAGCCTCGTTTTTTGTACTCATTATTATTACCACAGTATTTTTTTTATACATCGCTTTAAAATGTGAACAAAATATTCAAAATGCAGCGAGYGGTCAACGATAAAAGGCTTCACACTAAAATTTACTCCGAGTAATATTCGCGGATGAAAATGACAGTGCATCGGTCTTCCTGACGGACACCTCGCTACAACGGACACCTCGATATTGCGGACAGTAAAATACTGAATCCCCGAAATACAAAGAAGTGACTTTTGTCAACATGTTAGTAACTATCACATTCAGCCAATAGGGATGCGACAGTAAAGTCTGTGATCAGACAGCATAGTAGAGCGTCAGTCTTACTTCTGCTGAATATTCAATAGACTATAGTTTCAGGGTCATCTATTATAGCTTAAGCAAATGTTCTCGGCATGAGGGAAAATCTAGCCAACGAGGTACACATCACCAAAGAAATGCGATTACTACATGAAAGCAAATCTCCTGCAATCTTCCTTAACAAGGAATTTGCAATCCAGAAGGACGTATTTCATCCAAACATCTGTCCAGAGGTAGTAGAATACATGTCTATACAGCTTTTGAGTCTCGTAGAAGAAGAATTGGCGAAACTCTCAGCCAGTGCGTCGTACGATTTCCTCGARCGTCGGTCCTCGTCGCTCTGTCTTCCAAAAAATGTCGAGTTTGGGCAACTGACATCAACGAAGCTGCTGTAGCAAACACAAATGAGAATGCAAAACTTCATGGAGTGGAACATCGTGTCAAGGCTGTAGTCGCTGATGTGTTTAGCAACCATGAGATCAGTGGAAGAAAGTTCGACATGATTTACTGGGCCTCAGAACCTGGGCTGGTCAGTATACCGACAAAGAGGCTCAACTAGATCCTCTCCTGTATAGCCTCATTGATCCTGGCTACAGAGGTCTTCAACGCTTCCTCTCAGACGCGGGAAGCTATTAGTTATATCTGAAAGATAAAGGGAGATTGTTTGTTTGCTTTTCCTACATGGTTGGTTCCGAAGAGCTTTTCAATAGCATCGCACACAACAATGGTTGGAAATTGAAAATCMTCTCAAGTCAAAATGTGAACATGAATCTAAATGGTACCGCCAAGGAAATACCAGTGATAATGGTTGAGTTTCTCAAGAAATAAACATAGATTCCTTATGTAATTATTGTACATTAAAGTGCGAAAACAATTAATTCAAACTATTTTTTTTATTTATATTATATTCCATGAATTGTATATTGTACAAAACAGGCTATTAAGTCTTAAGACTGTGATGTGTGGTTCTATTGATAATTGATATT